AGACCCTTAATAGTGTTTATTGTGAGCAATTCAGACGTTGATTCGCTCACCTTCAGCTGCTGGTAGGCTTGTGTCAAGTACAAGGTGCTGAAGATTTTTCCACCGCGAAGCGTGCTAAAAACCTCTTCCGGTGTCGGCAGTTGGTAGGAAGATGCTTTTGTCGCCAGGTTGACAGTGCTCCGGTAGTCTCCGCAGAGGCGTAGGGTACCGTTCTTCTTTAGGACGACAACGAGTGGTGTAGCCCATTCCGAATGTTGCGTCGGTTCGATGATCCCTTGTTCCCGCAGTCGGTCAAGCTCATTCTCGACTGACGTTCGTAGAGGGAAAGGCACCGACCTAGCTTTCAAAAATGTCGGTGTCGCATCCTCCCGCAGCTCCAGTGTGACTGGAGGTCCATTGTTCCCTGGTATTTCTTCGGAGAAAACCGCTTTGTACTTATCTTGAAGCTGCTCCACTGACGGATAACTGGGTGTGTGGTGAACTCCGCCAATGACCACTCCAAGGGGGGTGAACCAATTTCGTCCTAAAAGGCTTGATCCAGAACCGTGGACGACTAGCAAGGGGAGCTGATGGGTCTGCCCGTTGTAGTACACGTCTACGTTGGCACAGCCCAGCAGTGGAAGGGAATGACCGGACCACGTTCTCAGCTGCGTGTCGTCTTTCTGGAGAGCTGGCGCGTTCTCACGCCAAGTAGCGCGAAAAATGTCCTCGCTGATGAGCGTACATGCTGCTCCGGAATCCACCTCAAACCTGACAGGGCGCTGGTGTACCATAATTTCAGTTGTAATCTTCGGTCTCGTTCCGAGGTTTACAACGGCGTTTAAGTCATATAGTGCCGATGACGTTAGTGCTGTTCGGCTTGTATCTTGCGTCTGGCCCTGCTGTGCGTCGACATTGTTGTTCCGTTGCACTGAAGTCTTCGGTCCGAGCTGTTTGCGCTTCGAGATGCATGCCCTTTTAATGCGTCCCAGTTTTTGGCAAAAATTGCAGGTCGCTGTCTTGTATCGACCTACCTGGGGATCGTGCATGTCGTCGCATCGCCAACAGCGCTGTGTCTTTCTGCTTGATTTCGCCTTAGACGTGGAATGACCTGACTGCTTACTGGTGTGATGCACCGGCTCGACGTTCCGTCGAATATCCCTCTGCTGGTGACCGGCGCTCTCCACTCGTTGGGCGATGTCGTAGGCTTTGGAGAGGGTGAGACCCGTCTCCGCGAACAGGCGTTGTTGTAGGCCTGCGTCACGCAGTCCGCACACAAAACGGTCGCGCAACATAACGTCCAAGGGGAGCATAGTGGTGTTAGCAGGTGTGGCAGTCGATCCTTCCTCCTGCGCAGTAGCTGCAGCTGTCGCGGTCAACGTCCCGAAATTGCAGTCAGCAGCGAGCTTTTTGAGAGTCGCTACGTATTCGGCCACTTTTTCGCCTTTCACTTGGTCTCGCCGTTGGAAGCGGGCTCGACAGTAGACCTCCGATGGCCTTGGGTCATAGTGCTCTTGTAGCGCTGCTACGATGTCGTCGTAGTCAACGGCTGCTGGAGTGCGTGGCTGAATCAGGGCACAGACTGTGTCGTATGTCTGCTCCCCACACAGCGTTAGCAGGTTGGCCCTCTTCATTGCTGCATCAGTGATGTTGTTAGCCTCGAAGTAAAATTGCAGGCGTCCAAACCACGATGACCATGATGAGCCGTTGAATTTGGGTAGCCAATTTGGGAGCCCGTGCGTAGCCATAGCTTGTAGCTTGTCAATATCGTTGCGTAGCGTTGGTCCAAATCCACTTCCTCGTCGCCACTGTGATGTCCGGTGTTGTCGTCGGCCCATAGACGTACGCGTTGGTCGCGGTAGTCCAAAAAGCTCAGACAGCCTCGAACGGTTAAAAACAAGTTTATTCCTATTCGGATGGAGGCGGCGGCCGAACTGCAGGGGGAAACGACGGTGGCTCCTTTGCGCCGAGCGGGGGAAGGGGAGAAGTCAACATCTGGAAGCAGTTTCAGCAACCGGTCCTTCGCGGGTTCGGAGCGCTCGTGACACAGGGGTGCTTGGAACACAACAGGAGTATATACGAAGCGTAAGCTGTAAGAAAGTAAAAGCCAAATTCTCCTGTCTCTCATTTCTCATTAGCAGCCATTGGAACGTACATTGAGCACTATCTGACAGGAAAAGAGTGCTACGTTATACTCGCTGGGCGTAACCTCCTTGGTTTTAAAAAGGTTTAGCGAGCGTTGGGCCGCAGTGTCATGAATACAGTGAAATAGTATATTCCCTGAACTCGAGGTGGTCAAAGGTGGGATGTAGACCCGAAGCGCAAGCTGTAAGAAAGTGTGCGTGTGCCACCTCTCGTTTAGTCCTTGGAATGTCCGTTGGATGGCGGTGCTTCTATACGGGGAATATATTATGAAAAGTTGAGGGATGGTGGTACTTGGAGTGTTGAACAGATGGATGAACGGACACACAGACAGATGCATGGATGGACGCATGAACAGATGCAGGGGCGGATGAATGGACGAATGCAGGGACGGACGCACGAACAGACGCACGTACGGATGGGCAGATGGACGCATGGACGGTCATACAGATGTACGCATGGACGGACAAATGCTTCACCCCACTCTCCATCATTCACTCCGCGGATATGCTGCCATTTTTTTCCAATCTGACTGCAGCACCAGAACGCAATGCGGAGAAAAAATGCAATACTGCGGAGAAAAATGCACTACTAGGTTGGAGTGAGTCGAAATAGAACGCGATGCCTGCGTCTACCTGCCCGCCTGAGCGGGTGAATTGCAGCAGGGATACACGGGGACGCGTATGAGCGCGTCTGTTTTCTGCGTGCCCCTAACGGCCAACGTCAGCTACAGCGACGCAGCTCCCTCTGGTCAGCGGACGGTGTCTATTCTAGAAGTGTGAGTACATTGAATAGCAGTCTCAGGGGGCAAAAAGTTCGGGGGGCGAAATAGCAGTCTCAGGGGGCAAAAAGCTCCTGTCTCTCATTTCCCATTAGCAGCCAATGGCTGCTAATGGGAAATGAGAGACAGAAGAATTCGGCTTTTACTTTCTTACGGCTTGCGCTTCGTATCTGCTTCCCACCTTTAACTTTTACTTTCTTACGGCTTGCGCTTCGCGTCTACTTCCCGCCTTTAACCACCTCGAGTTCATTCATGGTATATACTAGCTCATTGTATTCATGGCGCTGCGGCTCAACGCTCGCTAAACAATTCCAAAGCTAAGGAGGCTACACCCAGCGAGTATAACGTAGCAACCCTTTCTTGTCAGATAGTGCCCAATGTACATGCCAAAGGCTGCTAATGGTGATCGCAGCGTGCGCGTTAACTAAAAGCAGAATACTCGTGTCTTTCATTCCCCATGAGCAGCCGTTGGCATGTACATTGAGCACTATTTTTTATTGTTCGACAACGCATAGAAGAAATCTCTCACCGGCACCATCTTGGCGGTCAAAATGTTATACGTGTTACATACTACAACGGCTACGAGGGACGAACGGGTGACGCTATAAAAAGCTTCACCCCTAAAAGTGGCACGCATGAGCTACTACACGCACAAGCTTGCGAAACTGCGATATGATGTTTGAATACAGAGAAATTCACTGGTGTTGCACGTAGTTGCTGGTAAAGTTGTTTCACTTCTTCAGCTCACGAGAAGTGCAACTAGCGCCTTCTGCATGGTCCCTTTTTTCTTCAAACAATCATAATAGGCTCTAAAATTGGGTGTAAAGCATGGTTTACGGCTTTCTATTATACACCACGATACTTAATTCTACTACGTTTCCCGATGTTTTTTGTTGTGAAATATCATCGCAGCCACTACCTCACAGTGTATGACTACCCTTATGCTTTTATAGCCAGTGACCTGGCTCTTTCTTTCCAGAATATAGTACAACATGAGGCAGAAATTCTCCACGTTGTTGAAATGGTGCTGCCCACTACTTCTAAGCATAACCTCGAATCCTTTATAATATACCCAGCATACTCATGATGTCCAGCATGTCCAATGTAATGTGCCGAAGGCTGAAATTTGAGAGGAGCACACTAACGCCATTTCAAGCATTCGAAACGTTTAACGTTTCAAGTGTGGAATGCCTATTAAAAGAGCAATATTTTTTATTTATCTTAAGAAAAAGCCCTAAACAAATTCTTCTGCTCGAGATAAAGTTATAGGGGGCAGCCATGCAGTGGCAAGGCTCAGTTAGGAACGAAAACGTTTGGAAATTCAGTCTCAAATTCTCGTCAAGAAATGACTCACTGATAAAATGCGCGCAACCATCTATATACACGCGCGCGTGTGTATTACTGCTTGTGTACCCAAGAAAGCGGCAAAAATTTTACAAAAGGAGTGCATAATAATGGATTGGGCTAGTTGGCACCTGCCGACATGAACAAAGGAAAAAAACAACAGCGGGGAACACAACAACAGAGGAAGAACACAACGGGACAGGCTGGAAAGGCTGGAAACTGACACTGGACGTGTCCGTGCACCTGTCTGTCAAAGACATGCTCTCTCCAGACGCCGTGGTAACTCGCTAAGATTTCTTTTTTATATGACGCATGGTTGCTTCTCGCATGCCCAAGGTGATCACCGGCGTGTATAAGTTTTCGTTTGAAGTGATTAGTTGTAAGTGCCTGCCTGTCCCGTCGTGTTCTGTGTTTCGTTTTTTTTTCACCCGTTGTTTTATCCACTTCATCAAGTGGTCTTCTCGTACCCTTTTGTGTTCACATTTACGTTAAAAGTATTACTTATAACATCTCCTATACCTTTCTTGGCGTATATGTGTGTTAGTTGTCATTATTACTGCGTCTAAGAAAGCAACAACGTGTCCTTAAATTTGCAGTCTTTTCCCCGTCATGCGAGGAGAAGGTTGTCTGAAGAACACCTTTTTTTTCAATGGTATGATTAATAAAGTAAAGCCATTTACAGAGTATGTATTTATGCTAACAACTTAAACAGGCCGCGATCAACACACAACTTGATGTACAAAGGTATACTCACCACAACACCGAAACAGCAGAAACAGCAGCACGAGAGGCGGCGCAACTAGACTGCGTCTTCGCATTCTGCTGAGCTTCGCTTATCTTACCTCCACTTTAGCCCATAATACGTTTGCCTCTCAGCGACTCGCGGTCACTTCTAGTGCATTAGTGCCTCCATCGTGTATGTCGGCAACGATAAGGATGTTCAGGCGTAACGAAAAAAAAAATACATCGCCTCAGACAAGCTCTAGAGAACTGAAGCCACGGCAAAGTGGTTCTGTGAATAGATTACCGTTCTTTTATCGCATCGACGAAATGGGAGCGTGCGTAGAGGAGCTGCAGCTGAAGGTATCTTGTCCCGTGAAGGACATAAAGGCGTTTTTGTAAGGCGACGTGTGCTTGACAAGGGGTGTTTAGTTTAATACGATGTGACGAATGGCTATTGTAGAAACACCGCCACTTCATATATGACAAAATCTCACAAGATTCACTGTAAATAGACACCTCACAGCTTACTATGGGTGTTGCCACGGTTTACGCAGTAGTTGTTTTTTTTTCGACACTTCGGAACGGGGAATTGAAAAGTACAAATACCTCGGGGGAAAAAAAATGTCCCCGCGCCCCTTAAACACCATGATGAGTCACAGACAAAAGCCCTTGAAGCATGATGAGCTCCCTGGAGGAAGGAAATCTAGGAAGAGGCCTTCGAAAATGCGAGCTGCAGTAGCTGCAGAGCGAAAAGTGTGGCGAAGTCACGTGTTTTTTCAGGGGGGTTGTAAGAATAGTTAGGCACGCCGGCGTCTCGTATCGTCTGCATCACCACTCGTATGGCCACGATTTTGATAGGCGTCTGGAGCATTTGTATGCAGCTGTTGCAATTCATAGATGATGCGGTGTGTTTGTTAAAAGCCTTCAGTGAGCGCTGGCCTTCGTGGTTGTGAGTTAAGTTTATATCGCTTGAGATCGAAAGCGGTCATTCTCGAAGCTCGCGACCACTTCTCCGGAAATGGTTGGGGGCGCAGCTTCGTTGTTTTCCTTAAAGCCCCTGTACTCTAGTTTTCCTTCAGGTGCTGTGCTCTTGCGTGCCTCAGCGAAGACAGCCTAAAATCAATTCTTCAAAAGCGCCTTCGCCGCTTCTCAAGCATTACTACTGCTCATATGTGTTTAGAAAAAGTGGTTAATGATTTAGAGTACTGGGTACTACTCTACTACCGTTCATTTCACTATAATAAGAGGCTCCTTCGAATTTCAGTAGGCCAGGCAGCGGCACTTCGGTCGAGATGCTCACCAAACGTTCGTCTTTCTGGTGCAGGTTAGTTCTTGCTTGGCTGCGCCATGTTACCGCACTGATACCTGTCTTTTTTAGTGTTGTTTCCCAGGCCACTTGGTAGTATTTAGATCGGCGAGCCACATTCTGCCGCGGCCGCCGGGACGAAAAAAAAAGCAGCCGCCTCACTTTGTGGCGATAAAGAGGTGCGCGAAGACGCCCAGTTGTTTTTCGTGTACTTGAATGTGCATGATGTTAATTACTCGGCGGAGCACTGCTAACGCTGGGGCCGACGCGGAAATGTGACAAGTGGCGCCCTTGTGCCCCAGGCAAAGCCACAATGCCCAGTTTCTGTCTAAGACAGACGTCGGACCACTACGCTGTCAAGCCGCTGACGCTCAAATCAGCCCCAGATGTCCAGGCACATGCCCTTGGAGGCGCCTGGCCTGCGACCGCCGTTCGACAGCATGGGTGGTTGGCCCGAGCGGCGAGATGGCGTCCCAAACCACCAAAATGTCCCAAAACCACCATATGATTATCAGGGACGCCGTAGTGGAGGGCTCCGGAAATCTCGACCACCTGGGGTTCTTTAACGTGCACCGAAATCTGACCACACGGGCCTACAACACGGGCCTACAAATGCAGCCGCCGCAGCCGGGATTCGAGCCCGCGACCCACGGGATAGCAGCCGAGTACCTTAGCCAATAGACCACCGCGGTGGGGCGACACAGCAAGGTGATTACTCGTATAAAATCACGGAATAATTCCTCAAAGATTCATTCTTCCTTATAACTATTTATGACTGCAGTAACCTTGGAAATAATGTCGCATTACATAACACAATTTCATTGTTTGAAAGCAGCCTCACCCGAACCATGACTTCTTATTGTAAATATTGTGTTATTCTGTAACATGTAATATGTTATTGTGTTATTCTGTATTAAGGTATTCTTTATTCTGTTACTGGGTAAATTCATTGAAATCCGTGTATTTTTTATGCGTTAGTCTTCTATATTTACTTTTATTGTTTGTTTGAATGCATGTACCTATTTTCTTGAAAGGTTTTCCCACCCTGCAATTACATTTTATCAAAACTATCGCAGTATTTAGAAATATATAAATAAAAAGTATTGGGAAGTGGTCACTCTCATAAGAGTTTTTAGCACTTCCCAGTTCACATACTGTAAAATGAATGGAGAGGTGATTATAAACGAAAGAATATGTGTAGTTTGTGGGGCTAAAAATTGTGGGTTCTACTTGTTTAGCAGGCAAACGCCTGTTAAACAAATTGGGGGACCCTAAGGCTTCGCCTTTACGAGTTGAACGCAATAGCGACATCCTGTTCCTAGTGCGTACTTCAAACACTTAGTGCATGAAACTTCTTTGACTTGCTATGCACTCACTACGTGGCCTGAAGGGTGAGGTAGCGTGCGTGCCTTATGCAGTGGGTGACTGGCTTTAAACGGTGAAATCGTTAAAACAATCCCATGTTTTCACGCCCGATGGCAATGTAGGCTTGTACAACGTACTATTAAGGCAATATTTCATGTATCGTGAAGCACGTATGCAGGACGCGTGTGTTTGTAAACCATCAAAGTTACTTTCGCTACATTTCTAAGCAGAAGGAGTTTTTTTACTGTACTCACAATAAGACAAAAAAGAGGCATGGCTGTGCGGTGGAATACCCGCTTGCTACGCAAACAAACTGCGTCGAAACAACATGCAAATAAATTTCCATCTTTCTCAATTTTTTCGTGACGGAAAGATGCTTACATTTTTCGGTCACGCACAGATGATGATTTTTTCGCTCACAAATTATACAACGAACGACGCGGATGCCGGAATTTCCGCGAAACGAGCTCTTCAACGCTATCGCGCTCGATGCACCAGTTTTGCGCGTCGGTGCGAGATTCGTTCCATGAGCTGAAATAACCGAGAAAAAGATAGGGCCACGCCAACTCAGTTAATTCATGGAATTCATATTTCTGTAGCCGCTAGTGTGGGGGGTACGTATATTGAGCAGGCAGTAATGAGTCTTTTAGATGCGGAGCATCTAATACTCGAGGCTTGTAGTGCGGCGCCGTCCGCAAGCTTCCTCCTCCTTCTTCCACCATCTGTGCATCCCTTCCTCCTCTACACACCGCGCGCGCTTCACTCCTCCACCATCTGTGCACCCTTTCTCCTCTACACACCGCGTGCGCTTCTCCTCTTCACGAACATTTGCTAGCTGTATAATGTAGCGCGCATGCGCCGTCACGCTTCGAGAACATCGGCAGTTGACGCGCGCGCATGCGCCGTCGCGCTTCGAGAACATCGGCAGCTGACGCGCGCGCATGCGCCGTTGCGCTTCTCCCCCTTCTCGAACATTCGACAGCTGACAGTGCATGCGCCGTCGCGCTGTATACATACTCAAGGTCGGCGCTCGCTCGCTCAGTTGCCGCTCGTCGGTTGGTTTGTACGGCGCGTCGACGTCCAAGGTCGCGGTGAAATGAATTCCAACGAATCCACAAACACAATGATCGACGTCCCTTCGACCAGCGCCGCCCTTTCGCATACGTGTGTACGTGTTCACTCATTTAACACCCCCTCCTACAACCACGTTAACCAATTTAGCCATCGACCCAAGTAAGTCGCAATTTAACACCCCATTTCACAACCACGTTAACCAATTTAGCCATCGACCCAAGTAAGTCGCACTTTAACACCCCGTTAACCAATTATATGCTCCGCATCCTCCTCAGTGTTCCCCCGAGGGAAGCTGCGGGCAATTTTTTTTGCACTTATGGCTCGATAGGCTCTTGCCTCCAGTGCCCTTTGGAGTCAGTGATACGATGCGCTGTTTCTGTCGAGTATGATTGCCGCGACACCAAATACGCGAGAGCATCCAGGCCGTTTCTTCAAAAAAGCACATACTAATGTAATATAATTGTGTATTTTGAATTTAGCTTTGTCTCCTGTACGCACAGCACTTTTGAACACAATTTACGAAATACTTCTTGTATGTGGTTTATGTTGTTTGTCAGTTCTCTAATGTTCCAATAATACTGCGTTCATGTTTGCAGTGTTCGTTCACTGTGTGACGCGAAGAAGAAAATTGACTTAAAATTGGAAAGCATGGTTTTTGCTTACGCGTGGCGTTTTGATTTGATAAGTGGGGTTTAACGTCCCAAAACCGCTATACGAATATGAGAGACGCCGTAGTGAAAGGCTCCGGGAACTTGACCACCTGGAGTTCTTTAACGTGCACCCAAATCTGAGCACACGGGCCTACAGCATTTTTACCTCCATCGAAAATGCAGCCGCGACAGCCGGGGTTCGATCCCGCGACCTGTGGGCCAGCAGACGATAAGCGTGGCGTTCTGTCTGTAGGCAGCCTTCAAGTGATTGCGGAATAAAAATACTTTTATTACTGTCACGTTGTTTCATTGCCAGTTTGTAGCACTAATCATCACTCGGGGGCGATTTCAAGACAAACATCAACGCATTTATTTATATTTGTGACACCTGCATGTATAGGTTACACACGGGGCTGAAATCAAACTCGTGATGATATCTTTCGAAACAGATTCTGTCACCACTGCATCACAGCGCATGAAGGCTCCCCCCCCCTTTTTTTTTCTCGCGGGGTTATATATCGAACAAGTGGTTTGCGAACTATCGGTGAAATGTTGAACCTGTGTTCTCGTGACATGCCTATGTGTTTGAGCGTGCATTAAGTCAGCAAATGACGACATATTGAGCGCTAGCAGACAGGGTCAGGAGAGGAACGACAACACAATGCGCTAACTTCAACCATATTATTTTCGGGAAACGCCAAGCTATACGCGCGCACAGTGGCGCCACCAGTGTATCTACTAGCCAAGCAGAAAAGCCCTCTCCCGATTTAAAAGGTCAACCCACACACGTGAGTGCACCACCAGTTGACCACACACTTGCGACAACGACTTGACCCACACGTGCGAGAGATAGCATTGGCTTCAATTATTCCTCGGACTTCTTTATCTTTATGTTTCACCAGTACAACGCAGGATTCGTACAAAGGTGCGCAACCGTATCCCAAGCAACGTACTGACAAATGGCCGCAGTTTCTCTTGTTTTAAACGTTCAACTTGTGTTCGCGAAGGCGATCGTTAAGGCATCCACCCGTCCGACCGATACATTTATTGCCACATGTTAGCGCAAACTCATAAACCACCCCTTATACACAATCCAGAAAAGGGCCACGATTACTCTTCAGAAAATCTACCTATGATAGAGCCGTCACGTCCGGTTAATGTCAATTTTAGTTAGGTGCCATGCGCTGAAGTTGAGTTTGTAGTAGCGTACAGGGCTACGATGTTCGAGAGCACCAGCTCTTCACATTAGCTTATCCCTTCTGGTGTTGCGAATACTAATACTCATGTTCCTTTCAGCATCGTTGCGCAAGTGCAAGCAACTGGTTATATAAACAATTGTGTTTAAACACGTGCAACTCTTCAACATCTATTGAGTGTCATTACATAAAATGCCACTCAATAAAAAAAAACTAAAACGTGGTCACTTTCCTTCCACATGCTTCGTATAACGTCGACTGCCAGGCTACGTGGGCTCTGCTGAATATTTGTAAAGTGTTATATACATAATATACATCCACACATACAAACACAAGAAAAAACATTCATGAAGAGTGGTTAAAATAACCGAAAGTAGTATAGTAGTAGAAAGTTCATTGCACTAGAGGGATTCAGGGCGAAGTTTGGTGGTTCCTGTAGTCCAAAAAAGAATTTTGAAAAGAAGTTATGACTCCCCTCTGGTTGTGACGCAAAGAAAACGTTGCAATCACGCACATATCGTAGTCACAGTGGAAGTAGATAGTAGCGACGCTACTACAGGCGTCCCGCAATGCGCGCACTTTAAAATGCTGCACAAACGGCCGTCCTTAAAGCTGTATGTCGTTTCAAAACTGCACTGTTCAAGATAATATCATCCACGCTGTCCAGAGAAGCACTGCTACCAATGACACGGAAGACGCTGCGCTACCGGCAGCGTTGCAGTGATGCCTGTCTGCGCACAAACAGACCTCCTTGACGAAGTGGCTGGCCATGTACTCCACGAAACAACCAGTCTCCAGGCTGTTAACACACATCCACGTCACATTCACGGGCTGACCTGCACTCACCACAATCAAAGAACGCATAAAAGGGTTGTTTTATTTTCTGTGATGTACTTCCCCACGATTTATTTGATTGATTTGTGGGGTTTAACGTCCCAAAACCACCTTTGATTATGAGAGACGCCGTAGTGGAGGACTCTGGAAATTTTGACCACCTGGGGTTCTTTAACGTGCACCCAAATCTGAGCACACGGGCCTACAACATTTCCGCCTCCATCGGAAATGTCCCCACGATTGACAATAAAGACGAAACATACAAACGTGTGCACCAGCTTTTCGCTGTTTTTCGTTCGCAGTCGCCGGTCCATGTCTTATTACAGAAATCTTAGTAACACAAGCTAAACAAATGACACGAAACGCAATGTACCAACTACCTAATACCAGGTGAGGTTATTCTGCATCACGGGAGCTCGACTATTCCTAAAAAGGTTTTGTTAACGATTTTCAGTGGCATGAGAGCACAATTACCCGGTCTCCCATCTCCCGAACCACGCTGTTAAGCGCCTGTACGAGTTGTCCCAAAATATTCAGATATATATAGAAAAAGAAATAACAGGGATTGAATTTGATTTCCAACATAATTTATAAACACGGCTGCATCGAAATACGTCCGCGTTATTGTATTTTGCGCACACGACCGCACAGGCCAGTATCGACACCCCTCCCACAAATACTACCCTGCGCATAACACACGTACCTAGTTAAAGGCGAAGTTTCGAATCACAAGAGAGACATTTGTATTGTTGATGCAATATGTGAGTTTACTGTGAAATAGTAACAAGGCTCAGGTGATGTCCGTACGCTCTCTTTTCTGGTTGTATGCGCTTATAACAGACTTTCGTGTTTCACAGGCTTTGCTGCGATGCATACCAAAATTAGTTCGCCTGTGGCCTCTCTGACGTAAAGGCGCTAGCTCAGCTGCGAATGCTTGTTTTCAGCACTCTTTTGGGGACATTCACAGAAAGCCTATTGAAGACATTCACAGCAAACGTGTTCAAGTATCTTCTCGGGACCACTTAGAAAAGCTTCAATTTCAGCTATTGGTACGGCAGTGTAACGATTCACGGAACTGCAGTAGGACAGGCCAATAGGTTCGTAAATCTTCAAATGCTTACTTTCGCAAAGGCACGTCATTGGTATACACGAAAACGTTGAAGTTGGTTGGAAAGCAAGTTATTTCAGGCGATCGTGTTCCGCGTGCGTAGTCTATTGAGTGTAAATAGAGTTAACGGCTGCCTTACTGAAGGCAACAGATGCAAAGGCCACGTGACTGCGTGGTTTACACACGAAATGTGCCCCCAAGTTTCTGGTGTTTTTGACCTGCATTGTGCACACTTCAGATTTTGTTTTAAAATGGGTTCGCATCCACCCCTTCCGCATTGTGTACCTTAGTGCCCTAGCGATTACATAGTCGCTGTGGTACATCTATGTTCTCTTAGTCTTTGTATTAATGCGCAATGGCCTGTCTGCCCAATATCGCATTTTCCGCACGTGAAGAAATTATTGTTCAATATAATCCTATCATACTCTAAGTATTTGTTAACATGCTCAAGGGTGCCACTATTTCATGCACGACGTTTTGGAGAGGTCGTTAACTTGCTTGCACAGGCCTTTCAGATTCAAAGGGTTATTTTCCTGTATCTTTCATGATAAAGCTATGAATCATAGCTTCATCATGTTTAACACAGACAGTCAGAAGATAACGTGACCACAAGTTCAGAAATACCATCCAAGCAAGGATACAAAGCTAAATATTAGTGGATACCCGGCGCCTTTATTAACCTTTGTCGCAAAAAAAGGTCCTTAAAAATTTGCTTTGCAATAATAACGTAGTAAAACTGCGCAAAACACACGAAATATCAGGAAGAACGCACCTTTTGGCTCGTTAAGTAAGAACGTGCTAAAAGAAACCGAGCAAAACAGGAACACATGTGTAGTTCCACATATGCACAAGACTTTGCATAATAAAAAAAAAAGATCAAAGAAAAAAACGGTGCGATGGTTGTTTCTTCTACCACTTTGAAGCTGAAAAGCATATACAAGCAAGGTAATGATCTCTCCAAAACATCGTCCACGAAAAAGTGCACTGTTAAGCACGAAAACAAATATTTGGAATGTCATGAGTGTTTAGCGCACAATGCTTCCTTCAATTGCAGAAAATGTATAATTTGGGCAGACAGGGCGTTGCGCATTAATAGAAGAGTAAGAGAACACACGTATGCCGCAGAGATGCTGTAACACTCGCTCACTGGATTTCGTGCTGACTGGTTGTGCCTCTGCGATCTCCGACGACAGCGCCGTTCCGGCCAACCGGCTCGCCCTCCGCCATCTTCTGACGCCGTGAAGCTCTCGCTGAGTGGTGCCCCGTCCTCGGACTCCTGCGACCGTGTCCATCTTTCCTATCCTCCTTACTTCTGTATGTGGGTCTCTCTGCCCCTGTTCCTATCTCTATCCTTATCGCTTTCATTCCTCCGTATCTCTATCAATCCTTCCTTACCCCCATCTCTCGTGAGCCACTGTTGAGGTGTCGCACCATGATGCAGACAGTTGCGGGGCTCACGTTTATCTTCTTTTCTCTCTTTTATTACACAAAGATGCTGTAATCGCCAGAGCACTTAACTAGTGTGATAAGTGAAGTGCGCACGTAAGTGAGCGCCTAGAAAAAGTGCGTGACATTAAAAAGAAATTAGAGAAGCTGTGCACGCGCATACAGAAACCGCTTGAAGATGACAATGAATGTCTGCATGAGGGCGCTACGTCAAAAGAAAAGTGGTCCAATCAGCAGTCACCACGGAGATTTCAGGGGCCGATCACTTGTTAACGAGGCAACCCAACAAGCTCCAATGAGAAGCCAACAAGTCGACCCCAAGGAGAGAGAAAGCCTAGATCCTGAATAGCAGAAGAGCAGGGGACTTCGAAGAGAGCGTGGCGAGCGGAAGGTGGTAACCGGACCAGGCGCTCATGATTGGCCGTCGGGTTACGGACCCGAGCCTTCAGGACTTCAACCGGCCAGGGCCTGCTGCCGTCGCGTTCCTGTTAAAGAAGACCGCTGCCACCCAGTAGTGAACTCCAGCCCTGGCTGTGCCTGCAGACTTCGGTGCCAACGGGAAAGCAGCCGCATCAGTCGGGTTTCGTGTCCGAGCTGTGCATCGAGCATCTGGCCAGGTTGTCCCGGGTTTCTCGACGCGTCACCCAGCTGCCAGCGTTTCCTCGCCGCAGCCAACCATGCCACGTCAACAACACCAGTGAATCCGCAATGTTTATTGAGACCAAACCCACACTATTTATAGCTCTGTCGCTCTACCATGTCCGGACTCTATCATTTATTTTAAAGCTATGAACTTGGATTTTGGATTTTCTGTGTGGTTAAGAGTGTTTACCGTCTCCAGTGAACTTTTTATTAAGTGTTTACTTGAATGCTATTCACACTGCCATGGCGATCTAGTGACAAAGGTACTCGACTGCTGACCCACTGGTCGTGGGATTGAATCCCGGCTGCGGTGGTTGTATTTTCGATGGATGCGAAAATGCTGTAAGGCAGTGTGCTCAGATTTGGCTGCACGTTTGAAGGAGCCCCGCAACAATTTTGATCATGGTAAGAAAATGCTGCCGATCAGCACTAGAGGCTCCCGACAACACGCGAGCCAAATGTTAGAGCGCAGCACGCAGCCCGGAATTCACATTAAATTATCTCAATCAGCTAAAAATTGCTTTCTCTTCTCTCGACAAATCACGCAATAAGCCCGAAAAATCCTCTTAGTAAGCCCGTCTATCAGCCATTGGTGGATTTGAACATGGCGCACTCGGTCGTTACATAGATCGCCGCGGAAGGCCGCGACTCGTACATGCATGCGCGGCGAATCACATTCAAAAAGCCGCACACCCAAAAAATAAAAAAAAATAAAAATAAGAAAGTACTCAGAGTCACAAGACATGCACGGCGTATTCTCTTTGCCCCTGCCATTCCTCCCTACTTAGCTTTCAGTGCTTTCGTCGGGACAAGAGAAGAGAGAATGCAATTGCAGAATGTGACAAATCTTTGCGACTTCTTGCGTACTAGACAGATTCCTAATAATTTTGCGGCGTTGAATTCGTGAGGCAATGAACCTTTCCAGTGACTTGATTTTATGGTTACTTGAAAAGTCTTTTAGAGCCCCTTTAAAAAACTCCAGGGGGTCGAAGTTTCGCGTGCTCTTCACTACGACGTTCTTCATAATCATATGGTAATTTTGGGACGTTAAAACCCTCATATCAATCGAATCGATTGACCGTTAGTCTTTGGTTTTAGTTTCTGATTAAAAGTTTTCTCTGTCTTATACAACCAATAGCTTGTCCTCGTTCATGCTCTCAAAGCCTCTGCCTTACAGAGCAAGAACAAAGAAAAGGAACCTGCATAAAAGCTACTCAATGCTCAAGATGTAGATGTGAACCCATTTTTAAAGAAAAGCTGAAGCTCGCACATCGCTGGTCAATAAGACAAGCAATCATAGTGACATATTTTGTATTCAAATAGCACAATCCCGCGAGCCCTGCAACAGCTGCCCTCAGTAACGTAGCCGTTAACTTCATTCACAACCGATATACTATGGTAAGACTTCCCACGCGGAACACGATCGTCTCAAATGACTTGCTTTCATAGACATCACGTTGTGACATTGCGCATCCGTACTATCTTGAACGTTTTCGTGTGTATCCTTGACGTGATTTTGTGAAAGCAAACAGTTGAATGATTACGCGCCACTTTTCCTGTCATACTGCAGTTCCGTCTGTCCTTTGTGCATTTCGCTCAGCTCAACCATATTACAGTATGGAGACCACAATACTGAAAATGTGACCGAAAATTGACGCATGGTCACCCTCGTAGCCAAAAAGTTTTTCCTGGAGAGGGAGGGGGGCACTTGCTCAAAACCTCGCCTATTTTAGAAAAACGCCTATTCTAATTACTTATTTTTGGTAAAACACTCCCTTCGTCGGGATTTAAAGCTGGGCACAGGCATTCGCTTACTCTAAATCCTTCCGCTATATCTTCTGGTCTACAGCAAGAATCGAAGTAGTGCAAGTCAGTGGCCGGTATACTATACGAACCTGTGTTGCCATAGAAAGTCCACCGCGCACACATGCCGTCTGGCTTGGTACAGTTGCTGCAATGCGCAAATAACTGCGACTTAGTAGGCATCTCAGAGAAGGTCTCAACGCCCAACAGTGGTTCCTTGAACGGGTTGTCGATGGCGTCTTCGGAGCGTTCGTACGCTTCCTTCCAACGTTTGGTGAGGTCCTTCTGGCGCTCCGCGTCCACCACTTGCTCGGCCAGCCAGCTGCACTGGAAGCAGCCGAGGCTGTGACGCTGTGAACTGTGGCCCGCAGAGGAGGAGCCCGACGCTGCGATGCAAAACAAACTGCTACAGGCTCGAGTGAAGATTAGGGTGGTTTTGCAAGGACCCAGGAACCAGAGGGCCTGTTTTAATCCGCGCGATTTTTTTTCCCTGGACTTTCGGACGACAATACCTTCATTCCTAAATCTAAAACGGAACATTCCACGCCGAAAAATATGAGCCGACAACGAAGGCAGCACAGTCTAACGAGAACCTCACAAACTAAAGAGGCATAAACAGTGTTGTAGGCGTTACCAAAAAAAGCAGCTAAACACTAATTAAAAAATTAGAATTGATGCCAGCACTCTGTACGTGTGCTCCTTTTCTGTGTCCTTGTTTCTTGCGCGTTTTTAATGATAGTAACTAAACAGGTTACTCGTTACGCTAACAAAAAAGGAAAACTTTATGCTATCGCCCTACATTTCCTGTAGCCAAGGTGACGCACTACTGTTATTGTAACAGAAGAAAGCAGCACACGTTACTTGCGCCGCTACTTTATCTGAAATATATAATTTGTTGGGAAGGTCTTGCACAGATATACCGGACTCCAGTAATATTATAGTGTTCCATGAAGTTGCGTGTATTGTACTGTATATTAGTAATAACTTTATTATTATTATTATTATTATTATTATTATTATTATTATTAGCTTTTGACAACCGCTTGTTTACTAATCAAGCATACATAAAATTTTTTATGTATGCTGTGAGAAGTTACGGCCAAGAAGCCACAAAAAACGGGAAGGGGGAATAATATTATGCCCAGTGTTATTCATTTTTAAAACGTGAAACCTCATCTGAACACCTGCACCTCTGCCTGAAACTAATGATGATGATGTTTGATGTTTTGTGGCGCAAGGGCCATTTCACGGCCAAAGAGCGCCAGTTCATCTAAGGTTATGAACAATGATTGTGATAAGCGGCTGTATAAGGGCCATAATATTCCTCGTGGTAAGGCGGGTAAAAACATACAAGTAATAAAATCATGACCATGCCGTGAAAGGTGTGTGTGGTGTGAATAGGTGACGAAAGTTGTAATAATGAAAAATGATGGTGGACATGTATGGTATTAGCACAAGTACCTCACTCATTCACACCCTTGCGTCCAAGGGCCGGGAGGCAAGTGCTTTCTTGTGTAGCCACCGCAGCAAAAACCTCCCTGGAGAGGGTGTGCTACGGAATGCCCGGGTATATGATATGAAAACTATGAATTTCTTTAAAAAACGCTAACAATGATTTGTGACTACAAAGCGGTTCCCTACCGACGAACATTGCAGGATGTAAAGGTATATGTTGTCGGTAGGGTAATGGAAAGTGTTGTTTTCTTAGAGTGTCCAATTGTTTGCACTGAATTAAAATGTGAAAGACTGTTGATGCTTCACCACATCTGTCACACAAAGGTGGATCGCCACCGGACAAAAGAGGTGTGTGTGTCGTGTATGTGCGTCCTATCCAGAGTCTCGTTAGTGTTACCTCTGTATGACGGGATTTCGATACAGGCAGCCAATGACCAAGGTGTGGCTTAATAACGTGTAGTTTGTTTTGTGTGTGTGTATCCCACTTGCTCTGCCAGTATACTCTGAGGTTTCGTTTGAGAGACGGCTTAAGATCAACGGCCGGGATTGATATGGGTGTAGGGGCAGTGCTTTTGTGGATGGATGCAGTGAGCTGATCCGCCCTCACGTTGCCTTGAATCTCACGGTGCCCTGGCACCCAGCACACTGCAACATGTTGTTTGAGTGTGTAGAGTGAGCACAAAATGGAGTAAAGTGAAACAAGGACTGCGTTTGTTTTGTTTTTTAAGAGTGTGCAGAGCCGTTACCACACTGAGGGAGTCCGTATAAATAACTGCTTTCTGTAGTTGTAGTTGTTTGATGTGTTTAGCGGCCACAAGTATCGCGTAAGCTTCCGCTGTGAAGATACTTGTGCCTGGATGTAGAGGGCCAGCATCCGAAAAGGATGGGCCGAGAGCAGCGTAGGACACAGAGGAGTTAGACTTGGAGGCATCTGTAAAGAACTCAGGAGGTGTGTATTTGTGTTGAAGTTTCAGGAAGTATGTTTGGATATGGGCAATAGGCGCATGTTTTGTAACTTCTAGAAAAGACACATCGCAGTCTATAGTCTGCCATTGCCACGGTGGCGGGTATGATAGAGGAGCCATTAAACTGTGTTCAAGTGAGATTCCAGTTTGCTCAGCTAGACTCTTCAGGTGAACCGAGAAGGGCTGCCTCATCGAAGGCCTGTTTTGAAATACAATTGAGCTCGACAAATCATTAATCGTAGAATATGAGGGGTTCTTCTTGTCTGCTTTCACCTTAAGGAAATAAAAAAAGGACATGTAAGTTCTCCGAAGATGAAGCGACCACTCATTTGACTCAACATAAAGGCTTTCTACGGGGCTGGTGCGAAAAGCACCCGTAGAAAGGCCGATGCCCAAATGGTGCACGGGGTCCAGCATCTTCAAAGCACTTTGAGTTGCATACTGATAAACAACAGCCCCATAATCTAAGAGGGTGCGAATGAGGCTTCTATACAGGTTCTTGAGGCATTGCCTGTCACTAGCCCAAGTAGTAGGTGACAACGCTTTTAAAACATTCATGGCTTTTAAACATTTTGTTTTTAAATTCTTGATGTGTGGTACGAAGGTCAACTTGTTGTCCAATATTAATCCCAAGAATTTATGCTCCGCATTAACAGACAGACGTTAACCGCATGCCTCTCTTTCGGGAGAACAAGACACACGTGTTTTTTTGTGGGTTCAGTCGGAATCCATTTTCCTCTGCCCATTTGGAGACCTTGTTTAAACCTAACTGAACCTGCCGCTCACACATTGCCAGATTGCAAGATATAAAGCCAAGCTGGACGTCATCGACATATGTACATAAAACATATTGCGAGGGATGGACAAACGCAAGAAATTCATTTTGATGAGAAGAAGTGTGCAGCTAAGTACACCACCTTGTGGCACGCCTGTTTCCTGGACAAATGTTTGGGAAAGAACCGTGCCCACTCGGACACGGAATGTGCGGTTTGACAGGTAACTTTCGATTATGTGAAACATTCTTCCGCGCACGCCAAGGTGGGACAGGTCTCTTAGAATTTCAAAACGCCATGTTGTATCATAAGCCTTTTCGATATCGAGGAATACAGAAAGAAAATATTGTTTATGCGCGAAAGCGTCCCTGATCTGTGCCTCGATACGAACAAGGTGGTCTGTGGTGGATCTACTTTCTCGAAGCCTGCACTGGAAAGGGTCGAGCAAATTGTTTGTTTCAAGGATACGTACAAATCGGCAGTTTATCATTTTTTCGAAGACTTTGCACAAGCAGCTTGTAAGTGCAATAGGCCTATAACTCGAAGGTAAAGAAGGGTCCTTGCCCTCTTTCAAAATCGGAATAATAATAGCCTCTTTCCAGGAGGTAGGGATAGTGCCAGAAAACCAGATAGCATTGTACAAACAAAGTAAGGTTTTTTGTGTTTCGATTGGTAGGTTTTTTAACATTTCATACACCACACAGTCAGAACCTGGGGCAGAAGTACTGCAGGAGTTTAGAGACGTTCGCAGCTCAGCTAGACTTAAAGCGTGGTTATATGCCTCGTATCTAGTGCATTTGTGTTCGAGTTTCTGCTTTTATATTCTTGTTCTGTATTTTTGGAAAGTGTCAGTATAGTGGGATGAGCTGGACACCTGTTCCAAGTGTGCACCGAGGAAGTTTGCCTGATCTTCCATGGTATCACCCTGAGTGTTTACAAGTGGAAGTGTGTGTACGTGTTATCCTGCTATCCTACCGACAATGTTCCAGACTTTAGCCTCCTGTGTGTATGAGTTGATCCCTGACAAAAACTTCTGCCAGCTTTCTCTTCTGGCCTGCCGACGCGTTCTCCTGCCTTGAGACTTCATTTTCTTGAAGGTGTAAAGATTTTCGGCTGTCGGTGAGTTCCGAAGCAGCCTCCAAGCTCTGTTTTGCTGTTTGCGCGCGTTTCGGCATTCAGAGTTCCACCATGGCACACGCCGTTTTCCAGGGTGTCCATTTGTTTGTGGGATGCATTTTGTTGCAGCATCAATCAAAAACGTTGTGATTTAGTTGACAGCAACCTCAATGTTCATAGTAAATATGTCATTACAACCTAGAATAGCGATGGTATAAAACTGTTCCCAGTCGGCTCTATTTGTGAGCCACTTGGGAACACGTGGTGGGCACTCATTTACTGTAGTTGTGCTCAAAATTACGGGGAAGTGGTCACTTCCGTACAGATTACTGACGACTTTCCACTGGAGTAGAGGCACAAGAGATGGAGATACTATGCTTAGGTCTATGGAGGAGTAGGTGTTATTAGCGAGATTATAATAGGTTGGTTCTTTTCGATTTTGGAGACACGCGCTCGACGAGAGAAGGAACTGTTCGATCAGTCGACCACGCGCGTCATACCTAGAGTCACCCCATAGCCTGCTATGCGCATTAAAGTCTCCAAGGAGAACATGAGGCCCTGGAAGTTCATCAATTAGAGAGTGTAAATCACGTTTTTGCAGCTGATAGCTAGGAGGAATGTAAATAGTGCAGATTGTGATCAGTTTATCAAAAATAACTGCTCGAACAGCCACTGCCTCAAGGGATGTTTGGAGTTGTAAGTGTGTGCATGCAATTCCTTGATTTACTATAATGGCAACACCTCCGGTTGATGTCATGGCATCAACACGGTCCTTTCGGAAAATAACGTATTTACGAAGAAAATATGTGTGTTTTGAATTAAGGCGTGTTTCTTGTACACACAGCACTTTTGGTGAGTGTTCGTGTAAGAGTTCTTGGATGTCGTCAAGGTTTCTGAGAAGGCCCCTGACGTTTCATTGTATAATTTAGTGTTCATGGTGAATGTAAAATAGTGCTGTGTGTACGAAAAGCGAGTGGCTGTTTAGACAGGGAGTTTGAGTTCACTTAGCAGGGCCGTACCCAGGCCCTGTTATCTGCTTTTTTGTTTTCTTGGCGCGCTCCAAGGAGCCACGCCGCT